TTTATTTATTAAAGTGTCCAGATGTTGCAAAGCCTCCCTACCATCACACTAATCCTTAGCACACACAAATCAAGTGAAACATGACATAGTTAAAACAACTTTAAAAACCTAACTCAGCAATGGATTTGAATCATTTTTTGGCCTCACTATATAAATTGTGTTGATGGAATAAAAATGTTTAATTTAAAAGTTTCTTACCAATTTAACGATTAAAACTAATGTCCTGCTTTAACGATTAAAACTAATGTCCTGCTTTTAAAGTTTCTTTGACTGAAGGAAATATAAGGTTACCTCTTCACATCTGCACATTTTGAAATAGCAGTAGATTCTTCAGGCAGCTGCATATGTCACTGTGACGTTCATGGAGATATTATTTACCTGAAGAAGGTGCAGCGACTTGGAGCACCAACAGGAGCAGCCAGCAGATATGAAAAAAAAATTTCTTCTCTGCCATTTCCTCTGGTTTGCTTGATTTGGTTAGTTTCTGTTATCCCATACAGATTGTCTGTGAAAAGTCAGAGAAAAGCTTAAAGCTCTTCATGTCTCCAAAGACAGATGAAATAATGAACCAGCCATAACTTTCACTTTTATTGTTCGTGTAACTATATGTGTTAAGAAAGATCTGGCAGAACATGTTCAGAAAACTGAAAAATAAATGCTTTAATATATAGCTTAAATTAGGAGTGTGTAGACTACGTAGCAAAGTAATGAAACAAAGGGATTTGCTCAAAAAAAAAAAATGTACTGATATATTTTTGTTTTTGGACGCCTTCATATTTGAATCAAAAAAGTTTCACTTCAGTAATTCCCAAACTATAAAATCAACATCTTTAATCTAATAAAGTTGATTAATATACCATGCTTAATGTGATCAAAAAGAACCATGGAAATGACTGAGTTTGAAAGTAATTTCCAGCAAACACGATGTTATTTAAGTTCGTTGAACTGCAGCTGAGCAGTTTTTTTGTGACACGCTAAGTAAAGAAAGAGAATGCTGACCGCAAACAACCAAGAGATTTTTCAAAAGAAGAGAAGCTTCCCTATTCAGAGGAAGTCAAATATGTTTCTGTTCGTTCCTCAAACTGACCTTCATGAATGTACCGACTCCCTCTCAGGGCCGCTGATCCACGTATTTACCTCTGGTCTGGTCTCTTTAAATGTCCCCAACAGGAAAGGAGTCTCAGACTACCGAGGCACCTGGAGGAATGTGGATATATTCTTGATGGGCAAGGTGGATTTCTGAGAACAACAAACAGGTTGAGCAAGCCTTCATTCAACCAGGAAAAGCTGCAGAGTCAAAATCATTCCAGTTTTCTCTGCACTCCAGTTTCTTTCTTTGTTGTGATGAACTCTTCCTATGTTAAAAAACCAACACTGAAAAGTGTAGATGTGTTATTGTAAATCCTGCATCAAGTTGATTTTGAAATAAAGGATTAAACAAGAAAATGAACGATGCTGTTTTAGCTTCTTTCCTCATTTTTTTGATCATATCTCTACAAACTGCATAAAGAGAAATACTAACATCTAAACACTGCTGTAGTCTAAATGTCCACTTAAATAATTAAAATCTCAAAATGTTTAGCCAAATACTAAATGTAGAGGACAGCAGATAAGATCAAGCTATCAAAATGTGTCAATTCATTAACTTTTGAAAGTTTTTAAAACCCTTTAACTTCTAACATCTTTAAGTTAGTAGTAATGTATTGCTGAAATAGAAAGTTAATACAGTAACATACACT